TAATGATATAACTAGTCAACTGCATTCATGTATACATGTACTTGTGCTGTACTCAATCAGTGAGTCAGTGACATAGACATGTGACAATTCAGTTCCATTACAATTAAAAAGTGTTCCATTCACTCAAATACATGTACATTACATACATGTATGTATCACATGCCATTATGAATGCTTCAGCCCATCCAACAAGTACAGAAATTATATAAAATGTTCCATTGTTTGAGTTCATCTTGACACATCCTAATAAATACAAAATAGAATAATTGAATGTACATAAAACAAGGTCTCACTGCTTCTTGATTATGAAAATAAGTGTAATTCACTGTATTAAGAGAGCGAGACAGAGATAGTAATTTAAGTATACGATGCTGATGCTACACTTACTTCTTCAAATTAGGCATTTCTTTTATCATTAATTTGTAAGTATTTATCTTTCCATTCTCCTGTACAATAAATGACACAATAAATTACTGACCAAAAGACATATCCTACTCTCTTTACATGTACATGTGTGTATATATATGTAATGTACTATAGTGTGCATTGTGTCTTACCACAACGTTTGTTAGCATGTGTTTCTGTTCCCACAATATTTGCCAGATATTTCAGCAAGTGCATTTGATGGGACCTCAACAGACAATGCAGTTATGCCTATAATAATATTGTAATAATAACAATGCTGATGTATACAGCTGCTCACTTGCGCTAACGCTAGAAAGAGTGAAGACATGTGAGACTGAGAGGTATACCTAGAGAAGAAAAAAGAAAGAGCAAGAGTTAGACATACAGTATACATATACATGAGGAGGAGAGAAAAGCAAAAGAGAGAAAGAGACATCAAGAGACAAAGATATACAAAATAGGTGTCAATTAAGGAACACAAAAATGAGGCAATGGATACATGTATTTTTAAAAAGGGAATAATTTTGTGTTATGAACCTATAGTAACATGACAACATGCATTATGCAGCTTTACTAAACATTATAATACCATGTAGCAAATAATACTTAGACTACATGATTAATGACTGTGGAACTTCAATGCATAAATCATGAGGAATCGTCTGAGACCATACATGTACAAGTAAACAATCACAATGACTACCATAGATAAGGCACTCTGGGCATAACTGTTATAATGGAGATTTCAATTGCGAGCAGTTACACTATTAGTGATTTAATTTATAAAACTTTCAACAAAGCATTATTTTCAGTTTAATTTATTTACCAAACGTTTTGCTACTCAATAAACATTCTTGATAAGGCCTAAATGTTTTTTCCATGCTTAAAATTCATCCTATACAGGTATAATATTATAGTATAGGTAGGTGAAGCAAGATTATAGATAAAACTAAATCAAATACAATTATGCTGTATCATCAGACCCATAACCCAATTATTGTACAATGACAACACAGTATAGACCTGTATAACAATTTCCAGGCCTGGTGGTCCCAAAGTAGTTTTAAAATGAGGACAAGTAGTGTGGTACCAATAGTATCTTCAATGTTCAAAGTACACAAAATTTTACATGCATTATGTAGCCTGGATTAGGCTACAAGGAATAAATTGAACAAAAATGTAAAATTGAGTATTGCGTCATCATTACCATTCGATTCTACTAGAAAATGCAAAATATTAAGGGCCTATTCCATTCAAATATAATATTACTAGATGGATCATGAGGTGAAAAGCAGGCGAAAGCTACATGTGTAGCTCCATAACCGTCATGTTAGCAATTATACATTGCATTTATTATTGACTTATTATGCATTACAATTGAAATATCATCTGAATGATGACAAAGCATGATGTGGCACAATATTGCTGATCCATAGTATAGTTCAGGCTCAGACATTATTTACACAATTGAATACATGTACAAACCAGGTGCTAGGCTGCAGGAAATCATC